AGCAGACTCATTTGCTTACGTGATTGAAAGACAGACTGCTGGCCATAATTCAGTTACGAATTTAGAAAATAATTCAAGGGACAATTCATTTTTGCGGACCGCAAAAGCTGAAGGCCTATACAATCATGCAAGTTATTTACACATCAAGAGCTTTTGAGCGGGAATCATTGGCATTCTAAACCTTGTGGGATTTATTTCACCAAAAGCCCAAACGATGGCTTTGTGCATTCTGTCATATATATCGCATATCAATGTACATGCAAATGTGCTGAGACCTACTTTAGCAGGACAAGTAAGAACTCGTGCAACTGCGTGTCAGAGCACTTTCTTTGAAAATTATGCCACGTGACTAATCGACTGATGGAGGTTTAATGCGTCGCAACGAAAAAGCGTTCTATTTAAATGTCATAAATCCAACACCGGCTTCTAGACATCCACTGTGCAATAGAAGACCGAAATGTGGTCGTGTTGAGCAATAAATGCCGACCCAACATGTATGCACGAGCAGCATGACCACCTACTGATTGCCATAGAAGTAAGAACCGGACACGTCTGGTCCACGATGTGGTGTGGGTCTTTCTTTATTCCTGGTTCTTCCTAGCTCACAATTTCTCGTGGCTTTTCAATTTTCGTTATATTATTCAGCTGTATTTGCTGATTAGTTGCACGTAGTGGACGTAATATCAGGTTCCGTTTGACTGGGGATATTCAGCTGAAGACTGAACAGCGAAATACATAGGCTGATTTAAACAAATGGACTGCTTCAAATGAAGGTTCTTTATTTCTTTCGGAAGGAAATGCCTCCTAGCTTCACATGATATAAGTACTAGGTCTGAGGTACATCTTCTGTGAAACAGAAACTCGATGCATGGTTTATGTGCACAATTATTTCCTGCGGAATGAAACGACGAAAGCTGTGTGCGGATAGGTCACTATTATTCTCAGTTCGACCATCCCTCATACACGCCAAGGAATTGTATGCTAATCCCGGAGGTCATTTATCCTTGCTTTGGTCCAAGTAAATTTTGCATGGGAACACGTAGCTTAATACTACGATCCTTCACAAAGCAGATTCACTTCAATAACCTTAATTGTGTTAACTTTTTTCTAAAGAGGGTATTTTTATTGCAGATTTGTTCAAAAACCAAATCGATTGTCTGCGTGAGTGGCCATGAAATTATATATTCTATATTTTAAGGATTACTAACGGTTGTTTTCCATGTTTGGATATATTGATAGCAACATCCTAATATCAAATGCGATCAACCTGAGGCTCCGAATAGCCTCGAACTTACACACGATGATCTACGTTTACTCATTCGTAACACGAGAATGGTTTGCACTGAATGCGCTGATGCCTTCTCAAATCAAGTGTCTCGTGAATCTCACCTAATATTTGCCATTTCAGATGCACCTGCCTAGAAATAAAAATAGAATACTCAATTGAAGCGCTCTACCAGCTCTCATTTTCCCTTCCGCCAGTGCTGTTGAACTTCGCGTTTCGATTAGGAACACAGGGAGACTTACGATATCTGTATAAGCATATTTCACGCCCGACTTAAAGCAATGTAGACTGTAGTGCAATCGTGTCATCAAGAACTGTGACATCTCACGTAATAATTCTTTATGAAAAATGTTTTCAGCTTATAAGCTGTTCACGGTGTTTGGCCCGTTTGTTAAGGCCAGGCGTCATGTTTTTAGTCACAAATAGAGACGAAGATACGGGACTACTTTCGAAGAAGCTCGACACAAGAGCCGTGGAGCAGCCTCCCTGTCACTATTCATTCTAAGTAGATATATTATTTGTCTTACTATGTTTTGCCAAATGTTGCCTGCTTACAAATGGCTCACTAGTTTAGCTATATATCTTTTGATATATCTGAATTACCCTGACTACTACGACGTTATCAGTTATGCAAATGGGCGTGTTAAAGCCAGTCAAGTGGAGAAGCTGTGGAAAAGCAATCTACTTAGTCATGAGCGGAATTTAGAGAGGTCAGCAATGGCAACAGGAAAATAAGCGTACTCAGTCTGCCATCTAATGAGGTGGTTTCAAAATGTCGATTGATTCATTTTTATTAGCAAAGTATCTAAATACACTCAGGACCAAATGTATGTATATTCCTGAACGATGATTTGAGGGTGAATCGTCAATAACTCATTGCAAATATTAAACACCGATTCCATTTTCTCTAACAAAAGATCGTTAGCGAACCAAAGTTAACCAGCGGTTACCATGCAAACAAATTTATCATTTTAATTTGGCGGCCATACAAACTCTTGTTTCAAGTCCGGAGCAATCGTGGCTGTACAGTATAGTGAACAAAAGTGATAAGTGACCCGTGGTACTAAACAGCAATGCAAAACGCCGCTTCTCAAAGCGCTACATTCACATTATCATTTATCATGGACAACATTGTCACAAACCTAAAATTGAATGCGAGCGACGAATGAGAAAGTTGTAGCGGGAGAATGAGTTAAAAAAAGATAAACATCTCATTCGAAATCTAGCCAACAACAGTTCCAGTCAGATAGACTGAATCCCATCGAGTGTGAAAATTCTGGTGTAGAATCACGAACAACCGAATAAAGGACAAACACCTCTGAATGCCTTTAAAGGCGTGGTAAGTGCCAAAACAGTCAAGACTTGCACGTTGGGCACGAAGTGTCCGTAGTACTGGGTCTCGTGTGAGATTCAGTGGCAAAAATGTACATTCAGCGCAATATGCAATGCATAAAAGTTTCGCAAATACGCACGGAGCCCACAATATCAACGAAATACAAGTCACTTACTTTGACTTTAGGAAGTCCCAGTCCAATAACAGCCTTGGCGGATTCCCGGAAGTAGATCCTGGATAACAAATGATCATCGGTTGGTGGACCAAATTGTCTAAGTCGCCGTCAGTTGCACTTCGGGCTGAGTTTGTGGCGAAAAATATTCATCAGCACCAGAATTCCGGTTCTTTCTGTTACATACAATCACTCCGCGCCTATTTGTGACTATTCTGAAATCTTACAAAATTATTCGATGCTCCCGATGAGCGATTAGGTCACGGTTGGTCAAGGACGTCAAAGTGCTCTCAACTCTTCGAAGACGGTGTATCAGAGCGATTAGGTCACGGGTGCTCTCAATTCTTCGAAGACGGTGTATCTCAGTCGACGGAGACTGTTTGCGAGTTCCCTTGTAACCCGATTATGCCGAGCCCACTTGGTCACAGCGTCCGCGACATAAGATCATCTGGCCACTTTGACCATGCCGAGCGCTTCTAACTCACCTCCTGAACGGGTTGCATCGGACGTGAATACCGAGGATAAATAGCCGAGGAAACACTCGTTCTGAAAATACGATCAATCGATTAGTAAGAGGTAAAGGGATCGAATGTGGTAAGCCATGACCGTGGACGATGTTGCGCAGGTTATCACCCCCAATCAGCCGCCAGTTCTTCCTTAGTGTTTACGGATGCACCATGGATTCAGACCGGAAGGCTGAGATCCAGAACAATCTCGCCAAATGCAGAATCACTGACCACTTTGGGTAGTACTCGGTATTGTGTAGAAAGCAGCTTTTTCGTACGCATTCTCCGCTGCATCAGCATTGAAGCACACTGACTTGGGATACTAAGTCCCCCACGTTGCTTACCGGCGTGGATATAACTAACCAGGTTGTCCTTCAGTAGACGTAGCAAGCCGCAAATATATTGCCTGATGTATTTATCTAACCTTCTGAGCGTGTTTCGGTGAACAAGACCGAGCACGAGGGAATATGTCATGCCCAGTATCGGGTAGTTCATTGTGATCTCTATTCCTTGATAATGCTTGAACAGGGTACGCGTCACCTCATCGAGTAGTTTGAGCAGGTGCTATCGGTGGCTGGATACCCCGTTCCGCTTATAAGCAAAGGGGATGCCCAGACATGTTAGGGTGTCTGTCGAACCCAGAGGATTGAGAGTCCTCGGTAAGGCAAAATGGTTCTACTGAGATTGCTGTCGCCCGATGTTTCATGCTCCCCACACATGACCATAACTTTCGTCTTTCGGGCGTTTTGTACCATACCAACCCTTCCCAGCTCGACCGCAGCAGCTTCGAGCTTCCCTTTAATGCAAGCAATCTTTCTGCGCACACGACCAGTCAACAGTGAAGGCAAAACCATCTACCAGGGTGTTGTAGAATTGGTATCTTAGTTGCGACATCGACAATTTAAGAACCTCATCCATTGCCATGATCGATAACAATGAGGAGAGTGAATATTTTTGCCTCGAACCTCTGTGGCAGTGAACCCTGGAACTGGAGAAAACCACTACAGCATTATCATAGGACTGTGCGATGTATCCAACTAGAGGTGATGGTGCTCCAAAAGCCTCGCAGATCTGACGGTTGTGTCATCCAAAACTGAATCAAACGCTTTCGAGATAACAAACGCTAAGCTGAAAGACGAAGCAGAGAACAAGAAAACCACTAAGGTATTATCATAGGACTGTGCGATGTATCCCACTAGAGGTGATGGTGTTCCAAAAGCCTCGCAGATCTGACGGTTTTGTCATCCAAAACTGAATCAAACGCTTTCGTGGTGCTCCAAAAGCCTCGCAGATCTGACGGTTGTGTCATCCAAAACTGAATCAAACGCTTTCGAGATAACAAACGCTAAGCTGAAAGACGAAGCAGAGTACGTAACAGCGATGTTACCTCCTAACAGCCGTCTCGATGCCGAAATGCAAATTTATGTGAGGGCATTTGCAATCAACTACTCCAGCGATCAGCAAGCACCTTATGAAAGCAACGGACAAGAATGAATAACACTATAATCGGTCCCAATTTATTCTGGTGAAGTCGGATTTGGGACGTTCCGAACTGGGGTCATACGGACACGACACAGATTTGGGCGATAATGAGAGTAAGTTGAAATACCCAGCGTGCACGGTAGCTTTGGACTAGTGAGGGATCTTAGGCGTGGGTTTTCTAGGCCTAGAGAAGAATTACCAATTTAAAGTTTCGTACGGCAGACTTTCTCCCGTTACATGACTCGAGCAAGCTTCAGTAGGATGCTACAAACCCTGCGACTTCGCCGACTATCCATGTGTTTTGGGGTTGACAACACCTATTTCCAATACTGCTTGGCGTTCGGCGGTAGGCCGCGGATATCTTTGTATAGATCCCGCTACCCGTCCAGCACAGCAGGCGCTGCATCTTTCCGTCGTTGGTGGTATAGGGTCTGGATGGCGGCGCAGTTGGCTCGGCGGATCTGCTTTCGGCGACGCCGTCGGGATACAATTTTCCAGGTGCGTAGAAGTGTCCTGGAGGTCTAAAAGTAACTGTATTTGCTCCAGTGTCATGCTCCCACACTGCAATCCTCGAACAGATGCCAGAAAATCAACACTAGCAAGCGAACTGAAACATATGAGATTCCAAGAGTGACATGGTGGAATCCAGGGTTTGTTTAAAACAGACGCTATAGTCATCGGCTTCTGTCGAGTAGGCTACAATTTGACCGAAGTTTGATCAGGTCCACCGAGGATGAGTCGTCCTGTTGTGCTTTCCAGTTTAGCACTTGAAACCTGATTTCAATGTGAATAGCCGATCAATCAGGAAAATACTGCTCCAATCTCTTGAACAGTGCTTTCTGCGTGCCACAAGACGAATGTGAAATTTTAGCAAGCCACAAGACCGTTCGTGACTCTTGTTGGGAGCAGCAGGTTCGGAATACTTCACTTGACCAAGCTTATCTGCATTATACTGGGTGCAGTGTGCATGCCGGCGATGTTGACTTAGGCCAGTTTTTGTCGAAAAAATGCGGAGACAATCTACGCGGGCCAATCGGGTAACCATGTTGGTTCCAACACTTTCACTATCTTGAACTCAATGATGGCTTACCAGGCCAGCTTTCTATTTGCAGCACTTGCCAAATTCCTCACACAGGAGACCCACATGTCTCTATTATGTACCGGTCAGAACCGGTGTGGAGGCGCTAGAGGATTCTGGTGTATATTGTCAAAGGTGACCAGCACACTGAAACCAAACAAGGTGGTTAGCCATATCTGGAGTTGCTGAACTCTCAGCTCACCCAGACTGACGTACAGGCAATCCCGTCTGTACCACAAGGAGCTGATTCAGCTCTTATTTAGGCTTTCAATAACTTCCCATTCGAGATGATGAGTGGTTACTTTTGCTGGTTAACGTATCACACCCGGATACAACACAATAAAATGCCTCTTCAAGAGCTATACGTACCTACTTACTTGCCTGCCCAAGTAAAGCCTTTGGCAGATAACTCATCAAAATGCTGATAAACTTCCCCTTTTATAACATTCTGCAGCTAAATGACACCCATTTGCTTAATTTGTCACGTCTATTACGCAACGGCTTGTTGGATATTGTGTGCATAGTTTGTTTTGAAGTCGCCTAATGCTACATCTTAGATATTGTAGCAGCTATAATAATGTCATTTGAGAAATAAATCCAGTTTAGGAATATCACGCACAAGAGATTTAGCCTGGGTCCAACTGAGGCAGAACCAAAGATAGTTTTGTGATTTTTTCAATCTATTTTGAGGACGTCGTAAAGTCTGCATTTGAAATTAACCCAACGCTGAACGAAACTCAAGAAATTGCTCTTACATAATGGGTCCCTATTTGGAAAAATGGTTGGAGGAAGGTCAGTGAATTTTCAGTAACCCTGTGATTAGTTTCCAAAACTAAACAGTTAGCGAGTTTCCAAAAGCGTCAAAAAAGTATGCGTATAAGGTGAAGAATTTCAGAGCACGAGCGAACTTTGTGTGGGGTACCGGTCGACAATTCCACCCACTAATCTTAGGATGTAATCTGGGAGTCGTAGAATAATACACAACAATAATGACGAGGATCAACTGCCTTATCATTCATGTGAATTCTTTAAAAATCTGCTAGTTTTAAAGCTAATTTGTCCAACTGCGTTTTTGGATGTGGTCAATCTATCCAACACACTCAGAAGATGCGTGATTGACCATTTCTAGAGGAATATGCCAGACCTTCGAAGACTGCGCGAAATTCTTGTAAATATGCCTTGGAAAACAATGCGTCAGCCTCTTTGAATAGACAAGATGGTGAGATGGTACAACGATTAGAGCCGGAATTACGGACATAACGACCCGTGGTTCATACTAGACTGTTCATCTCGACTTCCCTCATCCAGACTTGGGTAACTTGGCAGCGTTCAAGACCTCGTGTTTCCTTAAGAGGATTTGGCGGCTAGACACAGGAATTTCCCCATGTGAAATATTTATTTTCGTTTTTTTAGGCGAGGCAGATAAGCAGCTTTTTATCCGGTGAATGAGATTTTTGAGGTTTTGTCGTTATTGCTGTGTTTTATTATCTCTCCAGCGGGACCATACATAAGTAGGCTGGTTTAACCTGAAAAAAATTTACCTTGTTACGGTACGTGGAGTATGGTTGTGCAAAGTGGCACATCCCAGTGAAGTATATGCCCCGAATACAAATCCACACGATCAGTGCTGACCACAGGCACAATATGCCTAAGACATATGGTGAGAAATCCCGTTTGATATAACAAGAGTTTTCAGAAAATCTAGGACTTCTATAATGTACGAGTTACATTTTCCTAATGCTTCGCTTACTCGTGTTTTTATATGATTAACTTTGGTTACCCCAGTTTACATAACTGTTCAACAAAATTATCTGTATCGTTGCATATGATATCAATTTTTGAATCTAATTTAGGTCCAGCTGAGCTTATTTCATACCCACGGAGCCTAATACAGCTATGACGTAATATCTCAACTCGTAGAGGTAATACAGAACGTTGCCCTAAAAGCTACCAACGCACACTATTTTTCCACGAGACATTCAGGGGAGGGGATGCGGAGAATCCCCAATGATCTTCGTCGACGTCTAACTTGTGCGCAGTAAATGGAGATATATCTTTTCCACGAGACATTCAGCGGAGGGGATGCGGAGAACCCCAATGATCTTCGTCGACGGCTAACTTGTGCGCAGTAAATGGAGATATATTGAACTAGGTGCAAACTACGTTCACAGTGGTAAAGCTTCCAAACTCTCTCCGTCAGACATGTCCTGCCTGAGAGACAGCTCTTCAAAGTTGCAGCGCAACATCACATGGTTTGAAGCGACTTATATCACCGCAGGTTTCTGATTCAGTGGCAAGTCAGCCTCTCAGCTAGTTTCTTCCCCGTTCTTGGAGAAGGTGTTGGTTCAAACACCCTTACGTTCGTCGATTGCGGTGGTAAACGCACCAAGCGATCCAGCGTTCCACGTGTTCATCGCCATTTTGCTGCGGTCAGATCCGGTGACAATGTTGAGGTTGAATAGCTATATTTCGTCAACTTCCATTAAAAATTTCAGTCTGTTCATACTGGAACGCACAGGCTGGAAAGACCTAGATGTCAAGATGCCACAAAAGTGACTCCCAATGGGTGTCCACGTAAAACGTATATTTCTATGCTGGCTACGTCATGCCAACAACAAATAAGCCTCCCAATTTTCGGACGTAAGTCCTAATTTTTTTGACAGAATTATCACTCCAATTGTCTAGCACCTCCCTCACCCCACAGAGAAATTACACAGACACTGACTAATCTGTCATCATCACGTGTAATACAACGCTTGAGTAGTGATATACAGTCAAGCAATCCCGAGGGTCAGCGGTTCTGCATACTTCCAGTCACTGTAGCAGTCAAAGGCCTAACGCCCGGACGAGAATTCGGACAACACTCAGATATCCTCACCATCATCATCGCGGCTGAAAAAGACAACTGAGAACGCCAGTGTTTCACTGCCGTATAACCAGGCAAATGCATAAGAATGAACACCTTAACCGGAAGGGAAATGGAATAACAAGCGTCCATGAGGTAAGCCTACCAGCAGCAGCTGAACTAGTTAGGATATCATCACTCAGTCACACAATCTGTGCCTGAATGAATGAATGAATGCCATCGAAATGGGTTAAATCCCATAGCATTCAAGGCGATGGTCCCGTGTACCTTATTCTGCAAGGCGGTCAGCACCAATAGCGCTCATCAGTTTCCCAGCAACTTTTATCCCCTCCTACCATATCAAACTCGATATCTCTCTAGTTTTCGCTACACTCGTTTGGGCATCGGGGATAACGCTCATGGCAGACGGTAACTCAACATGCGTTCACACATGTCGCAGCTATCGTGACAAGCATCAATAAGACATTCTTGCACGCCGTAGGTTTTTGTAAGTACTCACTGTTTGCTGGGGATTAGTCCTCTTTAACTCAATAATCTGTCATCAATCTTGGGTTACTATCATCTTGTATTTCCGTTTATGCATCCACTGTCGAAGAACTACCGATTTGAGTCTACATTATCTGGGGCTGCAGTAGCCGTCAATCGTCAGAAAAAGATACCGGGATTCTCATTAATTCATTGTATTAAAAGGGTCACAAAGTTTCTCAGTGAGTCTCGAGCGAGTCCAGCATCACGTCCCCCATGATCTCCAACGATATTCAAAACGACATACGCTGGATACCAAATCTCTTGATGATTCCGAAACAAATAACAAAGTTTCAATTTCGAGGGCGGTCTCCGGAAGATTTGCTCAAGACGAGCCAGTTCTCCCTGCTGTCAAATTATTTTGCCATTCATCTGGCACACCCGGTGATTTTCAGCTTTAGGGTGGGCATCAAGAAACAGGGTGCCTTAGGTTTGTAACTCGCACATACTTGGCAAAAATTAGAATAACATTAAGGATTCAGTTATGTACCGTTCTCAGTCGGCTAATTCGGAGACAAATCCACATTAAGCAGAACCATCGCTTCGTCTGCTAGTCGAAGAGCCTTAGTAGCATAATAAAGTCTCTGAGACCGCCGGCAGGTCTTGCTGGGAACTGTTCCTTTATTCTTAACGGACAACCTTCGATAATAACAATAAGCTCACATTGCACAACTTGGTGAACTCCGTCGAATGAGATGGCTCACAAGCATCTAGTCGTCGTTATATAAGCTTCGATCGAATGATCGAGCTGAGCGACCCTCAACCATCCAGATGTGCCGTGGCTGGAACTAATGTGAAGGGTGCAACAGCATAAGTTCCCTAAGTTTTTTTGTTACCAAAAGGCAATACAAAAACCAGCAGGTAAAACAGAGCCTGTCATCGGATTGGGCACCAAAGGCACCGAACTCCGAAACGCTTTCTTTCACTTTCCGGAAGAGCCTGAAACTCATGATTCACGGTCTTCCACCCAGCAACAGG